ATGGCCGGTTGGTTGCGGCTGGCAGAGCAGCAGATCAGTTCTTCGCCGCCAGACAGTGTCGAGCCCAAACCAAAGCGAAAGCCGGGTCGGCCACGTGGAACATTTGGTGGCTCTGAGCTGCGGGCTTCTCTCAAAGCTGAAAGCTCAGAGGCAGTGCAGCAGGCCATGGACAGACAACGATTCACATCTGATTCCTCACAACATCCTGCTGTTCAAGCTACGACAGTGATGTCTACAGGCCAGCAGGGTGTGGTGGCCACGGGTGCACGTGCAAGCCCAGTGCAAGAGATGATCTTGCAGCATGCGGTTGCACAAGCAAAGCGATGTAGGCAAGAGGGTGCTCCAAATCCAGCGACGACTCTTCTCTTTGAAGGGAGGAGGAACATAGTCTCACAGAGCGTGGCGTCCAACATGTTGGATGTCACCAGGGAAGATGCACGTCGAGTGGCTGCAATTGTCGTTGAAGGTGGTGCCCGGCTGTGGCACGGTTTTCTTGATCACATATCTGCCCTGGTCAAAGGGCCACATTGGAAGGGTGTTCTGTTTGGTGTCAGAAGGCGCTATGATGAGACTCCGTTGCCTCTTCGTGTTCAAGAGCCAACACCACAGCCTTCCCGAATCACTACAGTGACTACAGGCAATGCAGCTGCTGTGTTGGATGCTGCCAAGGATTCTGCCAAGGGCACTACAGGCCGCAAGAAACGAGTGACAAAAATCATGCAGTCTGAGCTCAACATCTTTGCACTTTTGGAGCGTCAAGAGCAGGAAGTGGAACCAGAGTCCAGGAGCAAGCCTGGCAAGTTCTTGCACATCTGTGGCAAGTTTCCATGCTGGTTGCAATGCATGCAAAGCACGACAGCTCAGCAGATTTCTCAGTCCCAGAGGAATTTGCTTTCCAGCATCTCCAACCTGAACGATGTTAGCAAATTGTTCATGACGAGGCATGCCTGTGTCACCACTGACCGTTATGCGGCCAATCTTGTCGCAGAACAGGACATCCAATCCAGGTCTGGACAGTGGTGTCTGACACATATGCTCTGTCACGTTCACCAGCTGTCATCCTCAGAGAAAAGCCTCGGTGACCTTATTGCCGGTCACGTCGGCGGCATTGTCAGCTTGGGGCTGTCTACACGCTTTGCGGGTGTACTTCCAGAGTTGCAACAGGCATTGTATTCCTTGTTTGAAGATGAGCTGGAGATCATTGTGGGCCAAGGACCAGCCCGAGAACATCAAGATGCAATTCTTGACTTGTTCTTGCCAGTTGATGAGAAGAAAGTAACAGAGGTGGCGGATCGGATGAAGAGCAGGGGGCCAACCACTGCCTTGGCTCAGCAAAGGCGCCGGTGTGTCATTCGGCATTACCTAAACGGAGCTATTGATCAGGAGAAGCTTGTACACTTTACACCTGTGCTCTTGGATCGTGAGCAGCTGCTGGCTGAGATCCGTACAGAACTGATTCCAGCCCTTTTACCCATGCCTTGCCCGATTATCAACCGCTCGCGCTGGTTTGGCTGTGAGCAAGCCTTTGGTTGGGTGGGCATTCTATTGTCCCACCACAACCTGCTCCCTCGATTGATACAGCGATGGAGGGGCATCTCCACTGCGGCCGCCTCTGGCATGGCACAAATGGCAAGACCTGCCTCTGTGTCAACAGGTCCTTCACTTGGGCCAAAGTTTGGCAACTGGGGTGATCTGGCAAACAGGGCTGCTCAGACACAGACAGCCCAAGACACAACTGCAGGAGTCCACCCAGAGAGATTCCCGGCCAGACAAGGACAAAACCCTGCTGAAGACATGGGGTACGCAGAGGGCACAAGTCTTGAGCCCGGGGACAGCTCCTTCGTTGCAGAAATTCTGCGGGATCCGGCCACCGGAGATATAAATTGGCAAGAGCAGAATAAAGCTACGGTGGCAAAAGCTGTGGCATGGTGTCAGTCACAGCCAGCAAATGCCGTCATAGCGATGAGCATCGCATGGGGACCAATCTTGTGCCTGATGCACACTGTGCTCAAGCTTGGAAGTGAATCCTGGGAGCATGAGCAAGACAGCTGGGCAAGCACGAAGCTTCAGAGTGCTCGAGTTGTTTCAAGGTCGAGCCATGGACACCTGAAACATATGAACGACTTGATGCACACATCTTCTGCTGCGATCCAGGCAAGCGGCCGAACTTTGTCTGTCAGATGTCTGCTCTTCCGATTGTTAAGTCGTTGTGGAGCTACAGTGCATCAAGTCTTTGCTCTTCAACACAAAAGAGCTCCTTATGTCTTGTTTGGAGCACTGAATGGCAACCTTGGTCCTCTGCGTGGCTTGCCAGAGTGCCTTCATGATGAATTGACCACAGTGGTGTGCGGCAGGTTTCCCAAGGAGGGCACAGATCTGCTTGAGCCAGAGGCTCAGGCAATCCTGGCATGCTTGGCACAAAATCTGGAATCCGACATAGTCGGTATCGAGACGCGGCATGCGTCAGTTCGCCGATGCTGCTATGCTAGATCAGTCCAAGTCTGCACAATTGATTTCCGAGATCTTGGTGCGGAGTGGATCACAAGGCAACAAGTGATCTTGCGCGAACCCCTGACCACAGCTGCCACCAAGCAGAGAAAGCCCCGTGAGAAGGCAAAAGCCAAGAAGAGCCGTGGTGGATCCTGGCGTGCATACCAGCATCTCTTTCTCCGAAACGAGCCAATGGATCCTGCGCGGGCTTCTCAGGAATACCATGCATTGAAACAGCGTGGTGGCCCAGACTGGGACCAATGCAAGAATGTCGGCCTCTTGATGACCATGGCTGGAAGAGCTGGCAAGAAATCTTTCAAGAGGTGGATCCCATCACGAGGCCGACGAGTGGTGGAAAGCTCAGGTGGCCTTCGATGCTTGAAGGATGCCTTGGTGGAGATTTCAGCTGGCAGAAAACGATCCGTTGAACTGGCAGCAGCGGCTGAAGAACAAACGGAACAACTACTGGACAAAGTTTCAAAAGATACTGCAGATCAGCTGGGACAGGAGTTCACGGAGCCCCAGCTGTCCCAGGATGCCCTTCTTGGCTCTGTTTCGAATGGAAATCAGACCCTGTTCCCTGCAAATGCTGGGGCGTCGAATGGTGCTTTCCAGTGTTTGCCGGCCTCCATGAGTTCTCCGAGTCTTCTGAAATTTCTGGTGCCAGCCGATGTTCTTGCTCAGGAGCCTTATCTTTCGTCCTGCTCGGGCTGGGGGGTCTGGCAGGTGTCCCATGATTATCATTATCTCATTATGTGAGTTTTCATTACGATATGTCTCATAGGTTTGATACTAGGTATTTTACCATTATCCTTGCTTCGAGTATTGTGGTTGATTTTCCTTCACATTCCTTGGGATTTCCTCAGGAGGTTTGCAAGCCGACCGGACGCGAAGCCAGCGGATTCGAACGTGGCTTGTCCACAGCTTTGAAGGACACGTGGGCAGAGAAACACTGCTTGCAGCCGCCCCCAGAGCAACAGATCGACATGACCGGGAGTTTCACGACTTCCCGGTGCTGTTCCTTGGGGTTCTGCTTCTGCTGTGGCACTGGCCAACAAAGCCATTTCTTCCATTGCAAACTTTCGGCCTTGCTTCGCCCGTATCTGTTCAGTTCAGACAGAGAGCCAAGAAGCACCAGCAACATGCAACAAAAAAAGAGCACACCAAGGCCCGCAAGGCCATGATGAAGGGCTTCTTGATTCTTCGGCTGGAAGTCGGCAGTGAGCCAGGGCATGAACGTATTGAGAAGTATTTTCTGCCAGTGGCTGATGAGCCACATGAAGCCACCATGCCAGTTCTGTCAGGATTGCCTGAGCAGATGCATTCTTGGGCAATGTGTGCAAGTTCAGACACTGGTTCAGGAGAATCAATGGCCTCGGCACATCAACCCGTGTTCTCACACATCGGCTATGTGAACTACCGATCCATGCATTTCAGTGTGTTGCCTTTGCAAGCAGTGTCCCAGACAGATGACTCGGCATCAGATTCGGCTTCTCAGTTTCTGTCTGTCTTGTCACCTGTAGCCTTTTACCGTTGCTTCGAGTACTTCCAGAAAGAGCTTGATTTCAGATTACCATATGTCGCCTCATTTTACATCATGTGCTCTGACGATGAAACTGAGTTGCTTCCCAGTGAAATGATTCCTGGCCGCATGGAGGCCGTGCCATATTCTGAAATCCCGACACTTCAGGTCTGGAAGGGGCAACATGCAGAGGAGCGGGATCGAGCACGGATCCGGAGTGAAAAGGAGAAGAAACGAAAACCTCCTTCAGGTTCCCATCCTGGTGGCATCCGCAAGTTTGCCAGGAAGACCAAGGATCCCATCTCAGAAGCGGCTGTCGACGCAGACCCGGCTCCAGGTCCTGCGAGTGGTGATGCAGGGCAGGATGATGAAAACGTATATGTGGGCATGGATGATGGTCTCAGCAATGGCAGCAGTGATGCAGATGAGAACAGATCCGAACAGGACTTGATTGAGGCTTTGGAACAAGAATTGGAGGAACAGCCAGAGAATCCACCAGAAGCAGGGATTTGGGGCCGCGCAAGGAAAGACTTGTTTTCCAGGCCAGCAGAGGGAGCAGCCTCCTCCAGTTCAGCTCCCAATGCAGAACCAGCTATGGCATCAGCAGCTGCGGGTCCAGACGCTGCCGGTGAGAGTGGTTCTCGCCGAACAGGCCCTCGTGAGGTGGCTCCAGACAAGATTGTGATCCCCGACTTTGGAGAGATGCACTTTTATGAAAAGAGCCAGACGATCCAATGTTTCTGCCGTGTACATGCTGCTGCTGACTGCCGCAAAAGCCGGACAGTCAAAGGGTCAGAGACACTCTCGAGAGTTGGTCAAGGCAGGCCGATAGGCCTTTTAGCGGCCTGGCTGTATGATCATGAAAACCATGATTGCGTCTCAGAGCCAAAACGTTCGAGGAACTTTGTCCACCCTTTCAAAGAAAGGCTGGCCGCACGCGAGAAGTTTGATCGGCTTCCTGGGGCCAGTGCTTTTGCTCTGCATGAGAGAGCACAGGCACCAGACGAGACAAGCCCAGAGCCACTGACAATCCCGTAGCCACACTCGCCGAGCCCTGGCCAATCAATGGCACCCTGATCTCAGTGCTAGGCTGCACCATGAACCTGCCTCAGCTGTGTCATTGCTGCTCGATCGGCCAGGGCCATGCAGCTGTGCCTCCTGTGAGTGTTTTCACATTGCCTGGCCTAGCCAGCTCGAGTGTGATTGCCATGAGAAGGAATGAATAAATCAATTGTCCTGTGCTTGGGTGGCGTTCGTACCCCTGCCGGCTTAAGAGTGACTCCAAGCTGCAATCCACATCATGACATATAGTGCCACTCTGTGTTCTGACAGGATCTACTTGGTCATGTTCCGCAAGGACAAGTTCAAGCCAGAGAATGTTGTTGATTTCGAAGCTACTGTGCAGGACAGACTTTCACATCCAGTTGCATGTTCTTACATGAGTTAGGGCCGTTAGGGTTAGAGCCAGAGTCTATTACAGTCTAACAGTGAGGCTGTAGACACGTGAGAGCCACTCGAGCAGTCAGCCGCTAGCCGATGTTACAGTCTCTCAGTGGGGACCTTGTGTTGTCTGACAGGCTTTCAACTTTTTGTCGTGGTTGGGTGGATAGTGCCTATAGGCAAGATTTAAAGGAAATGGCGCACATTATGGGGTCATGCTACAAGATCGATTTGGCATCGGCGCCAATGTTCTGCTCAGGCTTGGCTGTGGCTACAGCTACAGATTGGCTGTCTCTTCCTACATGTCATTGTTAACCATCGTTTAGATATTGGTTTGCATACTCCACTCACAGGGCCTTGACCCAAACTCCCAGACCGCATGTTGATCAAAAGAGTCCATTGTGAGAGGCTGCATGCGCGCCACTTGAGTTCAGTCACACTGTGACCATGATAGGAGCTTCTCGGTCTGCAGAAAGCGGAACAGCCCCTGGAATTGGAGAACTTCCTGCTGACTCCGTTCCATGACTTGTTCAAACAGCAGATGCCAGAGGAGGAGGCCATGTCTTTTCGGATCTACCAAATCGATCTACATAGGACATAGAGAAATAGAAGTTGCTATGCATTTCTCACAAGTACTGACTAGTCAAACTTGTGACCAGTGAACTCTTGTGATTGTTGACTGCTGGCTTCCAGTGAACGATTGTTTTCTGTTTGGTTGACTGCTGTAGTCACTGTAGTCTGAGTTGCACTGAAGTCTTTCGTGTTGGGTGATATCTGATACCACTGTATGGGCGTGTGCTATTGTTGGCATTAATGGTTTTCCTGCCATCCCCCCCTCTCCCCTCTCTTGTGGACCTCGGGCTGTCTGGCTTGATGGCGGGGGAAGATTCCGAAAAATTTAGGGGTCAGGAGGCTGAAAAGATAGGGGGCCAGCGCCAGGCGGGCCGCCAGGTGGGACGGCTGCCACCCCTTCCACACAGGCCCCGGGGCCTAATTTTCGTGCGGGCTGGGGGCCCTGGCGCGCCACCCCCACCCCCCAGCCCCCAACCCCGCCCCGCCCCACCCCACCCCAAGGCAGGCGGGGTGGGGGGGGCATGCGGAGCTATTCACATGCTGGGGCTATCCTGTTTACAGCGCTTGCTGGGTGGCTTTGCCCCTATCCTGTTTAGGTGGCTTTGCCCCTATCCTGTTTACAGCGCTTGCTGGGTGGCTTTGCCCCTATCCTGTTTACAGCGCTTGCTGGGTGGCTTTGCCCGTATCCTGTTTACAGCGCTTGCTGGGTGGCTTTGCCCCGATCCTGTTTACAGCGCTTGCTGGGTGGCTTTGCCCCTATCCTGTTTCAGCGCTTGCTGGGTGGCTTTGCCCCTATCCTGTTTACTGCGCTTGCTGGGTGGCTTTGCCCGTATCCTGTTACAGCGCTTGCTGGGTAGATGTGTGGGCCCTCGTGCCATGCTACTACTACTACTACTACTACTACTACTACTACTACTACTACTACTACTACTACTACTACGACTACTACTACTACTACTACTACTACTACTACTACTACTACTACTACTACTACTACTACTTCTACAAGGACCAGTGTTGGTAAAACTTTAAGACTACTATTATGACGCACATGAATGCAAATAGGATGGCCGCTGCCAGTACCGTTGCCCTATTACTGGGTTACTATTGCTCATAGTAACAGTGCGGCTGTTGTAGTACTGGTTTGGTTTTGCTACCAGGGACAGTGGCACATCATTGTTCTTGCCGGTGCTACTACTGCTTCGAGCACTGGCTTTATTATTGCGACTATGGCAATGGCACTAGGAGGATCGGTTTCAGTTAACTTTCATGCAGTTATTCTATGGCATGACCATGATGACGACGATGATATATACTTACTACTACCATTACGTACTATTGCACGCTACACAAGGGTGGGGAAAGTAGAAGCAGCCTAGTAACCTAGTAAGAGGTAAGCAAAGTGGAGAACAGGTACTACTGAGTGCTACTGTTACTACTACTAGTACTAGTTTACTAGTACTACTACTACTACTGCTACTACTACTATTATTACTACTACTACTACTACTACTACTACTACTACTGCTACCACTACTACTACTACTACTACTACTACTACTACTACTACTACTACTACTGCTACTTACAAATACGGCTAGTACTACTACTTCGATTACTTCTGCTACTAGCACTACTACTACTACTGCTACTACTGCTACTACTATTACTACTACTGCTATTGCTACTACTACTACTACTACTACTACTACTACTACCACCACCCTGGAAGGAAGAGATGAGGATTAACTCACAGAGAAAAAAGCCCCTGGAGCTTTCAGTTGCACAGTGGCGGCAGCAAGCGGCAGCGTGGCGGATGATGAACTCGAAGTTTCGCCATCTTTCAAGCCATTCAGCAAGCTTGGTTGCACGATTCAAGGCTTGCCTCTGGTTGATCGTACCACAGAGATTCTTGATCTGGTTGTTGCATCCTCCACGAGAAGCTTGAATTCGAAAGAGCAGGAAGGATGTGCTTTCTGCCATCCAGAATGTGATCGTGGATGTTTCGCAGAATCCAAACAGGCGGGCTTTCAAGCCTGCCAACGGTGTGATGCGTGCATTGACGACTTCATCACGCTTGGTTCATTTGGGCCAGATGCGCACCATCCTTCCATGCGAGATGATGTTTTTGCAAGGGCACAATCCTGAAACAACAAAGTTTCCAGATCCCGAGGTCATGACACCAAAAGCTTTGCGGACATTGGCAGGCGAAGGCATGTATTTGCCCTGCCTGGCTGTGCTGGTCTTGGCCTTGAAACTCCAGGGTCTTCTTGTGACAAACTGAGATGATGGTTGCTGTCATGGAGCCAGAAGCATGGGGCGTGCAGTGCTTCATGATGTCATGACGACTTCTGCTGCATCGCGGTGACAGTGTGGTGCAGAGTGCAGTGTATACGAGTGTAGTGTAGTGGACTCTAGAGTCTCTAGAGACTCTAGAGTGTGCCCGCTCCATTTCATCGCTCTGTGTGTCGGCCACAACAACCAGTTTAAATAGCTAAATAGCTGATAGCTGTTCAATAGCTGGAGCTGTGATTATACTTCAGTCAATGAAGCTTGCTTGGCTGTTCTTTTGCAGTGTAGCAAACACATGGCTCCAAAAGAGAAAGTCTGAAGCTTTTGCCAGTGGCGGGTGTGCAGAGGTGGGCAAAGCCAGCTAGAGTGTAGATGTTGGCAGACGGCCCTGTTTTTTGTCGTCGAATTGTGTTTTTTCATTCGAAGTACCATATAGTGCCTTGGGCCTTGGCCAGACTGCTTAGGGACTGCGTCTTGCCATATAGTATCGCCTGAAGTGGTACTGCAGTGCTGCAGGTTCTTTTCCTTGGGGTGAGGTGTGGTGATGTTAAAGCTCTTGTACATTGTAGGCTGCCTGGATGCATTCAAGGGCAGTTCTGACCAGGGCCAGTTAGGCCAGTTCTGTGTCCAGGAGAGGCATGAGCAGCTAGCAAGCACCTGACCATGATGAGGGTCATAGTTTGCCACAGACATAGCCATAGCCACTTTTGTCATAGACACTATCCCATGGCGTGATGTCGGTCTCAGTTGACACAGTGGTCAGGTGGCTCATGTCCGGCAACCTGTAGAGTCGCTCTTGTGTAGGATCGATTCCCAATGCCGCGACTGGTATAGTACACTTGTACAGACATGTATGGCATGACAGGTCGCAGCTGCATGACTGTTGTGATGTGATGTCCAGGATGGCATGCAGCCTGGGGGTAGACTCGGGTAGACTGTATTCACTGTATTCGACTCTCTCTATCGTATCATTTGCCGTCTGTCGAACATTAAACCATGTCTTCTGACCCTTGAGTGCTATTGCTGCTATTACTGCTATAAATTGCTAGCAGTACTATTGCTCACTGAGCTGGTGCCATCCGATGCTCCATCGCCTCATGTGGACTTGTGGTCATGGCAGTACATGCCTCCGAGTAACTAGCATGGACAGAACCCGAGGCTAGTTATATCTAGCTGCCAGCTCAGTGTGGCGCCCTCTCATATTGGCCCAGCTGCCCAGCTATGTTATCCAGATATTCAATTAGTTTATCAACATCACTTTTGCTTTATTCAACCACTTTGTCAACCGAATTTGAGTCTTGGGTGCCACACTTCGAATCAAGTGTACAAACAGAAGACAAACGTCATTTCTGCGTGGACGAAAAAACCCGTGCCGACAGGTGGGCCGGAACGCCACTTTAGCCCAGGCTCTTGCAAAGAGTTTTCGACGTGACAGCAGGCATTCATTCTGATGCTGAATTCACGAATTTCCTGATCTGTTCGAGCACAGAGAGCCCAGCCAGACTCGCCCGGTGAAGGCTCTGCTTTGGGTGTGACACCTTGTGACCTTGTGCCATGCCAATTGCCACGGCAAAGAGTGGGGCAAGGAAGAAGCAGGACTTGCCACTCTGGCATCGCTGTAAAATCAAGCATTAAACTTAGCCGTATAGCCGTATAGCCTTAGTCGGCGAAATAGGACTTCAATGGAGTCGAGTGATTTGCAGTCGGAGTGGGAGCCAGGTGGATTGGCGCAG